TCCGCCCTTGCCCGCCGAGGGCCCCGCTTCGCACGGGACGCGCCCGGCTCGCCGCCCGCTCACTGCGTGTGCCCTCTGCTCCTTGTCCGCGACAGATATCAACCTTAACTCTCCCAACAAAGGTCTGCTGGCCGACGCCATGACCGACGTGCCCGTGGACGGCGCGGCCTCGGGCAGGACCCCCGCGCCCGAGGGACTGACCCTTGCCGAGGAGGAGGAGCTGAGATCCGAGCTCGCCAAGGTAACGGGGCGCCGGCGGCCGTGTGTGGCCCCGGTTGTGTCCTCCTCGGGAGGAGCGAGAGCAGGTGGGGTGGGTTTTGAAGGGTTTTGTGTTAAGGGTGAGCTGAGGTCCAAAGGAGGATGCACAGAGCTGGCTGGTACTTCAGATGCTGTGGTGTATTCGGACTCTTCCCAGAATGACTTAATTTAGAGCTCTGAGGAAATAAGTTGCTTTGATGCTGTGAGCTTAATATGGACTTTTAGCTCCATCTGAAGCAAGAAAACACTTTAGGCAAGTGGTATGCAAAAAAACCCTAATTTTTCCTTGGGAAGCTCAAACAATGGAGCACTTAACGTGCTTTCTTTTTCTGCCTTTTCTCCTTAAATATTTATTGCACTTTATAGGCAACTATTTCTGGTGCCTATATGCTTTGGAAGAGCTGAGAGCTTATAATATCTTAAATTTTGAGCACCCTTTGGGTTTTACAGATGAGTTTATAACTTCTGTCTGAAGCTGATTGCAGCTGTGCTTCTGTTTTCTGTCTTTCATTGAGGAATCTCGTGGTGGTTCTTGGACTTGCAAGCTTTAGCAAGGGAGGACTTGCTGCCCTGGGTGGTCACACAGACCTTGGGGGGCTGCAGGTAGAGTAGAAATCGACCCACTCTGCCCAGAAACAACTCCAGAGTACCTTGAAAATGTTGTAAGAAAGATCTCTGAGGAGAAACTCTTTCCTTTAATCATATCAGAGGAAAAAAATCATAAGAGCTTAGTTAATAAGTTTTGGAACGGATTGTTGTCTGCTGTTGAAATTACAGAGCTAGGAAGTTCTGTTAATCTTGGCACCATTAAGTCTCCAGTAGAGTGGCTTGAGTGGATGTTTTTCCCACTGGAGTCTGAGCTGTAGGCATCACCCTTCACATTCAGCTGAATTGTTCTGCACCTGCCAATCCTTTAGCTTCACGTTGCTAGTTTTGAGGGAGGTAGAAAGTTGGTTGAATTTTCAGAATTTTGCTGCACTGTCATTTAAGACAAACCTCTACCTTGCTCTAAGGTTGAAGAAGAAATTGGTACCCTCAGGCAAGTTCTGGCTGCTAAAGAGAGGCACTGTGGAGAGCTGAAGAGGAAGCTGGGGCTGACTCCCTTGGATGGGTTAAAGCAGAACCTGTCCAAGAGCTGGCACGACGTCCAGGTCTCCAACGCGTAAGTGTTGCTTGTGCTGCACCTTATTGTGTGACTCTGTCCTCATCATTTCCCAGGAACATGTTCCAGGGCTCTTCCAGCAGCTGGAGGCTTTTGCTCTGGTGGGTATATAGAGTAAAAGGCACTTAAAAATTCATTGCACTTCCACATCAGTGTCTTCATGCCAGCATAAAAAAGAACTTTTATATCTGTGATCTGGGTCAACAGCAGCTGGAGGCTTTTGCTCTGGTGGGTATATAGAGTAAAAGGCACTTAAAAATTCATTGCCCTTCCACATCAGTTCATGCCAGCATAAAAAAGAGCTTTCATATCTGTGAGCTGGGTCAATTGTTGCTGGGTGCCCTTTTCCAGCATGTTTAGAGCTCTAGATCACCCTATAAATATCAGTTCAGTTTGGCTGTTTTTGCCCATTCTTTAATTCCATGATTCTATGATTTTTGCCCCATTCTTGAGACACAGACAGCTGCTAGCTTGTTCTGAACTCAGGCTCAGTGAGAAGCACGAGAAGCTTCAAAGCTCTGCTGCACAGTGCTGGTTCAGAAGCTATGAACTTAGTTGTGTAGCTTGAATTAAAAACTCTGCACTTCCTAGGAAAAAAATCCCTAATGTTAGTGTGATACATGGTCACCTCTGCCCAAAGGAGGTCTGAAATTGGTCCTGACCAGGCATTAAGGGAATGGCCACAGCAGTGCTGGCAGTGCCACGAGGGGAGTCCAAGGGATAAGTTTGGCCCTGCAGTTGTGCCCATGGAAACATTCAGTCTCCTGTTACCTACTGGAATTTGGAGTTGCTGCCAGTGCTGCCACAGAGCAGATCATTGAGCTGTTCATCTCACTGTTGATCCTTTCCCTTTTCTTCATCTTCCCTCCTACGTCCTTGCCTGATTTCTGTTATGGTCACTGAAATGTGTCATTGTCTTCTCAAAAATGAATATTAAATCTATATTCATTAACACTTTCTGTTTCTAGTTATGTGAAAACATCTGAGAAACTTGGAGAGTGGAATGACAAAGTGACACAGTCTGACTTGTGAGTGCCTCGGGCTCCTCAGCAACACCCCCTTGCTGCCTTCCCCAGTTTGTGCTGCTGCTTGTCCTCGCAGGCCGTGGGGGTTGAGTGGGAGCTGGAGATGTGGTGGAGCAGGAGGGGCAGCAGCTTCATGCCTGGCCTCCAGCTCTAAGCACCCCTCAGTTGCAGAGGAGATGAGTAAATGTTGCTGTTATCTCTCTCCCGATCTTGCTGTTGCAGAAGGAAAATTCCAATCAGTTACCAGACCACTTTTTTTTTATTTTTAAAAGAAAAGAAAAATCAACCACAGTTTCCCTTTAGCTGGTCATTGGGAGGTTAGTCTGTTGTGAGGGGGTGCCTTAACAGTGAAGCTCTGTCTCTACAGTGACACTGTTTCTCTTTTCCTCGTGGGATGTGGCAGGAATCAGTTCAGTTACTGCCTCTCTGTGCAGGGGAGAAGGCACTGGAAGCTTTTACCTGTAGCTGGAAGTAGGGGCTGTGCAAATGCAAATTTGTGTGTTAGCTTTTGAATGCTGCCTGCAGTGGCTTTTCTGCACTGAGCTATGTGAACCTTTTTTACTGATGTCAGCACCAGAAAGCCATGAATTTTAGTGTTTGCTGCTTATACAGGCAGGTGCCAAATGCAGACAAAGAACATCTGGCTACTTTTCTCTTTAGAATGTATTGTTTAATTATATTAGACCTTCATTCTATGGAGAACTCCTCTCTATTAGACATGAATCATTTTGACTCCTGCTGCATAGCTGGACGTGAGGGACACCTTCAGTGTTTTCTGCACTGAAGATTCTTTCCCTTCTGTGTCTTGCTTGGAAGGAAATGATTATTTAGCTAAGAGGAGAACCTGAGTTGGAAGCATCGTGTTGTTAGGCAACAAGGTACTGGTCTAACTGGGGAGAGTTGCACCTCGGGGTGATGTGAACTGCCCATGAAACATCACCTCCTCTGAGCACTTCTGTGTTGTTCTGTAATTCCAGTAGAGCTAATTCTCACAACCCCTAAGGTACCCTTTCTACCTAGAGAAACTCAGTTTCTAAAGATCAGCGAGTTAGATTTGCCCAGGTGATGCTGTGTGGGTAGGACACAGCTCGGGGTGTGGCAGCCAGATGGGTTGGACCTTGAGCTCGGTTCACTGCTCTGCTTTTCATACGTGGCAGCCACGGAGGGAGGGAGCAGAGGATGCAAAGTCTTTGAATTCCTGACACCTCTGAACTGCAGGCCTTGTTTCTTTGTGCTCAGTGTTTGATGGTGCTTAATGAGGAAGAAACTGGGGCTTAGGTGGCTCTGTGCCTCTCAAAGGACAGCTCTCTTCCTTCTGGCTCTAGCAGAGGGGAAGGAGAAATAAACCCTGTGGTACTGTAAGTGTAAAAAGACTCTAATAACGTGGAAAGTATCAAAAGAAGCCTCTGTTGTGAGGCTGGGCACCGTGTCTAACCTCCATTGTGTTTGTAGATATCTTTCAGCCAGCAGCACACTGGAGGACTGGAATGAAAAATTAACTCAATCAGAAGCGTGAGTGTCTTAACCTGCAGTGCTAACAAAAGCTTTGGGGACAGTCTGCTGCCACTAACCTCCTGTGCCTCTGCTCCCAGTCCTCTGCTTTGACTAGATCTAGTGAAACGTTTCTGTTCTCTAGCTTTCAGTGTTTTTAACCCAATAAATGCCTCTTCTGGGAGAGGGAGCTTGTCTTCGGGTTGGTGTTGGAATGATTTCCTGGTGGTCCAAGTGATGGTCTTCAAATACCTGCCTGCTCTCAGGGGAGAACTGGCTGGAGCCTCTGGGTAGCTGATCCCTGTATCTTCAGCTGTGGAATAGCCACAGTGACCTCTCCTTGTTCCTCATCTCGTGCTCTGTGGGGTGCAGGACCTTTTCTTGCCGTGGTACCTGGTGAGGACAGAGCTGGAGTGTCCAAGGCAGCTGCTCGGTCATGTTGGGGGCTCCAAATGGACACAAACAGCTTAAACCTCCCAGTGGTTACACCCCAGCTGTTGGCTGTGAAGGTCTCTTGGCCATGTTTTTATTAGCTGTCTGAAATGAAGTTCTTATCTGGAGTAACTCATGGCAGCATGTTGTGGAAGTTGCCCCTTGTCCCTCTCGCTGCATCTCTCCCACAGCGTGGTGGGGAGTCCTCTGTGGTGATGGGGCAGGAGCAGGCAGGTGGTGTCAGGGTTTCTGAGCTGATTTAAGGATTTAAACCATGGTAAGGCCAGTCTTGGGTAGGGCAGCTTCTCCTGTTCCTGGGCTGGGCATGAAAAACAGCCCTCGGAGCTGGCTTGTTACTGGCAGCGTGTGTGAATAGAAGGTTTTCTTCCTAAGATAGGTGAAAGTTGAGCTGAGATTAAAAAAATAGGAGTATCAGACAAAAACCTTTTGAGTAGACAAGTCTGCTGTCAGTGTTCTGTGCACGTTTCCTGGGTGAAGATGTAAATTGTCACCATTCCACTCGCTCCCTAGAGTGACCCTGGTGTTTACGCCCGCTGACAGCGTGCCTGGCCCTGGCTCTCTTCAGTTGGAGTTCCTCCCTGGGTGTGCCTGCTGGAACTGAAAACTTCTCCTTGTGTCTGTTTCCTTGGGCTTGATAAGAGGCAGCCATGTGGCGGAAGCCTCTTTTGTACAGCACTTCAGGCCTGAATAGCTGGGGCAGGCTTGTTTCCTGCTCGCCTTGGCACTGGACGGTGTGACAGTTCACACCAGCGAGGCAGAAGCTGATTAAAATGGAGAGGTGAAGGGGATTGAGGGGCAGGATTCCAGCAGTGATCCAGAAAACAATCGATTTCCATTTCCTCCCTCTAAAGTGGGAAGAGTCATGATCAAGAAATCCAAGGATGAGGTTTTGTTCATAGGTTTTGGGGCTTTTTATGCAAATGCATCCTCCGTCCTGTTTGTGAGCTCTGTGTGTCACAGCTAATAAGCATCCTGTCTGAACTGGGAATGGGCCTAACTGGTGACCTTAGGGTGCAGTGCAGAATTCCTGGGAGTTCCAGTCCTGGCCACACACTTGCCTTCTGCAGGCAGTGCAGAGGCAGGGTGGAAATCAGCCCAGGCTGTGCAGAGGAGGGTAGAAATCAGCCCAGGCTGTCCCTAGCTCCAGTTTCACTGAAACCAGGACGCAAACTGAATTGGATGGTTTGTGTGCTGAGCCAGGCTGCACAAATGGTGGTTGGTGGATGAGAGCACTGAGAGGAAGCTGGTCCTGGTGGGTGAAGGAGGATTTGAGGGTGCTGGGCCTGGCTCCTCCCTGCCAGGGTTTATGGGAGCAGAGGGGATCTCAGAGCTGAGTGCCGATGAAACGCAATGAAATATTTGAATGCCACAGGGCAGAGATCATTCCTGCAGCTTCTGCTGCAGCCAATTGCCTGTTAAGAGAGCAAGGTGTTAGAGCTCAGTCTTGTTACTCTTAGATTTAGGTTGTTGTGCTGTGTTTGTACTGGTGCTAAGGGAAGAACGTGAGCGATTGTGAACATAAAGCTGTGTAAACCTGGCTGTGTCTCCTGCAGGAGAGTGGCTGCAACTTCTAGGTCAGGGCTGGGCATTGTTAAGTTGCATTAAAGTCTTGTATAACCTGATCCCTGGTTGTCACAGATGCAGCTCCACATGTGTCTGGTGGCAGTTCTGGGGTAGAGAGCTTCTCATCTCAGCTCTGCTTCCCTGGCTCTGCCTCCTGCGCCGCAGCAGCGGAGGGGTGTCCGTGGGAGCTGTGCGTGCAGGGCCAGGCTGGAGAGCTGACCTGCCTGCCCCTGCCTGGTGGGTTTTTTTGTTCTTCCAAGTTTCTATTTCAGCCAGATCGTTACCCTGGGCTGGATGACTGCCAGCACAAGCAGTTGTGTTGGCATCGTGGAGGAGCACGCTGGGGCAGCGGGAGCCGCGCTGGGGCGCCAGGTCTTTGGTTAGCTTAAGGCCACTGCTGTCGTGTGGAGAACACGGCTGGGGCTCCTCTGGCCTTGATCTGCTGGGGGAAAACATCAGAGCTGTGAGCCTGCAGCGTGTGCGTGGTGCCCTGTGAGCCTGGGGAGTGCCAGGCAGGTGCAGAGTCAGCACGGCGAGCACGGGCTCATCGGTGCCTCTCCTGGGCCCCTGCAAAGCAATCCTGTGGCAGGGCTCAGTCACCCAGGGGGGGCCTGGCTGCTGCTGGCAGGGACTGAGATCCCCCTCTGCCAGGGCAGCCTTGGCCTGGGGTTCAAACAGCTGTTGTGATAAGAAGGCACGGGTAAGGGCCAAGTAGTCCACTCCTAAATTGTCCTGAAATGGGGACTTCTTGCAAAAGATGTTGCTGTGGAGAAATGGTGTTGAGGCCTTGCTGTTGGGGCACGCTCAGGTTCTTCTGGAGGCCCTGAATTAAGGGCAATTACTCTGAACAATGTGTAGGTTATCAGGATTTTCTTTCAGGGTGGGAAGGCTGGTGTGGTTTTGGCCTGTTCTGCACAAGCCTCATGTACATTCCAGATTCAGAAATACTTGGGGCTTTGTTTTTTTGCCTGTTACAGCCCACAGCCCACAAACCAACACGTTGTAATTCAGGTGCTGTGGTGCTGTCTGCTGCAGTTCTTTCTGGAGAGAATGGGATGTAAATAAGTCAGCTGTCATCATGGTGCTTGTAGTTCTGGGAGCTCAGGCATGAGAGAGCGTGCCAGGCTCTTCATAAAGCCCTTCTCCTAAATATCCCAGTCAGGCAAAAAAATCATCTCAAGCTGAAAGATTTGAAATGAGAAAACTTGGCTTAAATTATTGAACTTGTTTTCCAGCCCAACTCTGATCTTAAAATTTGAATAATGCCATAAATCTAGATGTTCATCACTAACTGGAGTAGCTTAGAGAGGATGCATGAAAGCAGCTCAAAGAATGTTTGTTCCTGAGAACATCTGAAGGAAACAAAGGTTCTCAAGTGCCTGTCTTCTCCAGCTCTGGGATAAACTCCAGTGTAACCAGCAGACAAAGAGAAGCTGTCAGATGTGTTGTGGTTAATGGTAACTGATAGGAAACTTCTTTACCAGTTTATTTCTGAACTGCAGGTTGTAGAGGTGATGCTGATTCCTCCCCTGCTTTTCCATTCAGGGACATTGGTCTTGCTTCTCCCCTCCACAACCTAACGCTACAACACACTCTGTAACCTCCTCAGGGCTGCAAAGGGTGTTATGGAATCAGTCCCTGAACTTCATTTCTCAAGGAAACTGAAAGATAATTGTAGAGCAAATAAAATACAGTGCTGTGGTGTTAGAGTTTCCATTGGAAAATTTGGTTTGGTTTGGGGCTTTTTTTTTAGGTAAATGTTTGTCAGATCTAAGAACATATGGTGAAAATGGCAAAGGGAGTGTATAGAAAAGTTAATAAAACTTGGTGTTGTAAAACTTAAAGGCTTTTTATGTATGCAGGGCTCTTGGTGAGGTGAGTGCAGCTCCCTAACGTAGCTTCTTGCCTTTAACATGGGCTCCTTCTTCAAACTGGGGGCAGGGGACAATGCATCTTGCTGTCAGATCCTGCCCATGAGTTCAATTTGTGATGTTTTCTTCTGTTTAGTTACAAGAAGACCCAGGAAACCCTTTCCCAGGCAGGACAGAAGACCTCAGCAGCCCTTTCTAACGTGGGCTCTGTTCTCAGCAGGAGACTTGACGATTTTTTAAACTTGGTGACATGAGGTAAGATTTCTGTTTTGCACTCTGGTGCTTTGATCTTGGTTTCAAACAAGCAGTGAGGCTTTAGACAATAACCAGGCTTTTTTCTCTGTTTTTCTGCTCAGTTGGCAGCACACTGCTGTTGATGGACTTTCTTCTGGGTGGCCCTGTACCTCATTGTTTAGGGCAGATTAAATGTTTATTAAAGACTTGTTGGTGGGATAAAACCTGTTCTAAGGCATCTAAGTTTCACTTGGGTTAGGAGAACTGACAGAACATTTTTAGCAACCTTCCCCTTTAACTGTCATATGGCTTCACTGCAGCTTTTGTGTCATATCTAAGAAACTAGTATTAAAGTTTACCTTCTCCATTCATTACTGAATTACAGAGGGGTGTTTTCAGTGTTACTGTTTAGGATTAGAAAGGGATTGTCACTCCTGTGCTTTAAAATGGGGCATAAAAAGTCTGGAAGCTGTATTTCATGCAGTTTCCAGGTCCCTGTGTCAGCTTTCTGCAGAGAAGGGCAGCGTGCCTTCCAGGCACAGCTCTGTCACCTGGATCAGAAGGCAGGAATGGATTCAGTAGATCATGAGAAGAGAAATTTCTTCTTGTGGTTGGTGGTTATTGAGATTCCTGATGCCTGCTGAAGTGACTGCAGATTCAAACCTCTCTGAATTGGGATGTGGAGGGCTGCTTCCCTTGGCTGAGGTTCTTGCTCTGTGAGTTTCTCAGCTGTAAAAAGTTCAAGGTTAGAACTGGTAATTTACCTGATCTTCAGAAATTTAAGCTGACAGTTGCTTCCCCCTTAATGGCCGTGTCCAGTTTTTTTCCCCACAGAATACCTTGACCCCATTTTTCTTGGAATTGAGAGCTAATTCTGAATATACAACCTGTCTGTGCTAGTAAAGAAGTGTTGTTGTGTTTGCTGTGATATACCAAAACCTTGGATTGAATGGGGAGCTGTCATTCTTTGTAGGGAATTTCCTATTCCACTGTGGCTGGGAGTATCCAAGTGGTAAGAACTCGTTGGCCTCTGATCACATAGCACTGATTGATTCTAGTTCTGTCCTCTGTGAGTTATTTGCTGTGTTCCTGGAGGGTGATTTTTGCTGTTTTCATTAGCTCACTGCTCTGAATTTGGCAGAGAACTGGCTGGCTTCCTTCCCTTTCCAGTATTCAAGTTGTAACTTTTTTTTTTCCTGGAAACTACCTAGTCTGCAGGAAGATTTACATGCAGTCACAGACACTGGGGCAAGACGTGGTGGCAACACCCTGAGCTAAACTGGCCAGTGAAGTCACTGAGTGCCTGACTCCTGCAGTCTGCTCAGGCTCTCGTGGCAAAGCACTGGCTGCTGTTTGGACCAAACTGGGAGCTCCTGAACCCGTGTTGCCACCAGAAGAAGCAGTTTTGAGAGGCTTTTTGCCTGCCTGTTGCCCTTTGGGAGGGAAAATCCAGTTCCCCACGCAGCTGCAGGGATGTTTGTGCCATCCCAGGAGCAGGGAGGGGATGTGGGGCTGAGTGTGCCCAGTCCTGTGGGTGCCAGAGCTGCCCTGACAGAGTCCTAGAGAAAAGTTCCTGGGTAGTCAGCTGGGCTTTGCAGCACTGGCATTGCTCAGCTTTAATCACCCATTTAAACATCTGCATTCCTTTTTATAGCTGATACCTTGGGGGATGTGTTATGAAATAGGGGTGGCCTCTATCTTATTGCTTGAGGATCCCTGCCAAAGTTATTTCAGCAGGGTTTGCTTTGTCTGTGTGGCCCTGTGGGGGAACACAGTAATGATTTACTGTTATTTTTTTGAGGCTTTCACTTTTTCTCTGCCTCTATAAACAGACTTCTGCCTCCTGTGCTGGACTCAAGTCTTGATATTTTTGATCCTGAGCAAAGTTTCTCTCTGAGCATAAGTTTCTGCAGGAACTGCCCCACTTTCCACCCTTGCTGGGTGAAACTCTGGGGTTCTGATATGTGATCAGAGCTGATGAGGAGTGAAGTCTGTCGTGGTGTTGTGATCCCTTCTGAGAGGATCTCTGCCAAGGGCCTCGTAGCCTACTCTGCAACCTCTGTTGCTGTGCTTTCTTTTTTTCCCCTCTTACACTACAAATTCACTTGTAAAGCAGGTTTATTTGCCACCACTGGAAGCGTGGAGATAACAGAAGGGATTTCCTTGTTTAGTCAGCCCTCACTGGCTGATAAATGTGAGGGAGGAGTGATGAATGGGACAGACACCTCCAGACATGGAGGGTGTAGTCCTAATTCCATTTAAAAAATACTCTGAAATAAAAGTTATGTGTCCCAGGGCTAAATCTTCAGGATTGCTGTATTCTGGGCTAAAAACATCTTAAATGTTACAGGTGTGGGTTGCAAGGAAATATTGTGTTAATGTAGTAACTGTGCTGAGTGTGTTGATGCTGTTTTAAGATTGCTTCAGGGAGAGAAAATGTAGCTCAATTAGTGGGATTTTTTCAAACCTTGGCCAGTTCAGCTTTTTCTGTTATCTCTGCTTGCAGTTAAGAAGTAAATTGGCTTTTAAATGCTCTGTTCCTGCATTTTACTGGCCCCAGTAAACTGCAGGATGGAAAGTGTTTTCTCCTGGGTGGTGCCAGCTTGCTCTGTGCTCCTCTGTCCCCCGTCACGTTGTCTGGTGTAGTGGGCTCCTCTACATGATACTACAAGTAAATCTGTTAGGAAATGGTGGTTTGATCCCCAAAAGTGCCTGCAGATTTCTGAATTTATGTAAACTTGAAACCCTTATGGAAGGAGAAGGGCTATTGCCAGTTCCAGGCCAAGATGCTGAGCAGACAGACCAGTGCTTGTAGTATTACAGAGAGTAGTGTGGGGCATGGGCATGTGTGACCTGTGTTCTCCTCTAAGCAAGAGTAAGTAGGAAGTTAATTTATTTGGCATGCAAAGACAGCATTCTGAGGGGTGCACCCTGCCAAAGAGCTGGCAGGGCTGCATGGGGAAATGAAACCACAAAGCCCAACATCTTCACCTGGGCTGTGGGGAAAAGCCCTTGTACTCCTCGCCAGGTTCTCCAGATCCAACTTGCCAACTGTTGCCTCCTGCAGAGACAAAAACTCCATTGAAGTGGAATAAAACACTGCTTCTGGTAGGAGAAGCTCTTTTAGAGCATCCTGGTGTCCTTACTAGTGGAAGTAGGAAACCTGGGTCTGTTATTTCAGACTAGAGAGATGCTGCTGCATCACAAAATCACACATGGAAATCTGGTCACCTGCTGGGGGAGCGTTTGCCTTGAGACCTAAAAATGGGCAACCAGGTTATGGGACAAACGTGATCCCTTTCCTGCAGATCCTGTTATCTGTATTATGCTGAGACACGTTTGTTCTCTGAGCTGTAACTCTGAAGTCTGCAGGCTTGGCGAGATGAGGTGCAGGTATCCTTTGCAGGTTCCTGTTACAGAAGTCCTCAACCAGAGGTCCCAGCAATGCTGTCTTTGTATGGGAGCTTGTTGTGGTGGGGGAAGGAGGTATCTTCACCAAATTAGTGCCTAGTAAAGGCCTCAGTCTAGGAGAACATACTCTAAAAAAAAATACATAAGTTGCATGAAAGCAATGGAGAGGGGTAAGTGAAATGTTTGTTGTTGTTGTTGTTGCACACCCACTCCTCTCCCGCCCCAGCACCCTGGCTCTAAGTTGCTGTTCTCAGAAAAACGTCTTAGCTTGGCTTGAGATAATGAAAAGTAACTCTTTCCTCCTTGCTTATGACATTTATTTTGAGAGGCTTCCTCCTGGGACTCTGCTGTCCCGTGATCCCATGACCACGTCCCTCCTTACCCACCCTGCATTTAATGTTGAGATCTGCACAAGTGTCTGACTGTTGCTTCCCTTTTCTCTCTGCTGCTCGTGGCCTCTCCCAGGGCTCACCCCTTCTCCAATTCCTTTAGGTAAGACACTCTTCAAGGCTCTAAAAAGTGTTTGCCTCTCTGCCAGGCCCATGCAGATGCCAAAGGGGGAGGTGATGGTTTAAGCCTTGCTCCCCCTTTTGCCACAGACTGAGCAAACTACCAGGAGCCAGTGCCCTGCCATTGACTTCTGCAGCACAGTCACAGTGTGCAGTTAAAGACTCGTGCTAAAACCTCTGGGAAATTTAAGCTGTGGGCTGTCTGTGTGAAATGTGGGAAGAGGGGCCTGGCTCCTGGCGCTGCGGTTGTCCCCAGCAGCCTGTGTGGGGAGAGGAGGAACTGAAGGACCAGGGGAATGGTGTCCAATTGTCATTTAACTTTTCTCCTCCTTGTTCTGAATGCTTCCTGGGTAGCAGCTACTCCATTCGCCACTCGATAAGTATGCCAGCCATGAGGTAATGTAGCAAACACCCCGGGCTGGGGGGAGAGGCTGCCTGACTCCATCCTTTTGGGGGTTTTTGTTCTCATTTGTACAACTGGTTCCCTTCCTCAGCAGCCCGGGCTCAGTGGGGGCTCGCCAGGTCCTGTGGTGTGAATAAGTCAAGGGGGGTTTTATAGCCTGGCCTCACGTGATGGTTCTTAGCACCTCTGCTGTTCTTAAGTGCTGTGTTGCAACTGGACCAAAGTCTGGGTTGAATTTGCAGCTTTCAGGAGTCCCCGGAGGGCAGGGATTACAGCTGGTCACTGCTAAGGCCCTGGCAGATCCTGACTTGAACCCTCTGTCTCCAGCCGGGGAGCTCAGTGGCCTCTTGGCCTGCTCTGGTGCATTAGGTGGTGATCTCCTGGCAGGAGGAATGATGGCCAGGGCTGGATGAGGGACCTAGAGCCCAAGTGTGGGGAGGAGCAGCTGAGGGAGCTGGGGGTGCTGAGCCTGGAGCAAAGGAGGCTCAGGGGAGACCTTCTGGCTCTGCACAGCTCCTGACAGGAGCCTGGAGCCAGGGGGGGGTCGGGCTCTGCTCCCAAGGGACAAGGGACAGGACAAGAGGAAAGGGCCTCATGCTACCCCTGGGAGGTTTCAGTTGTCCCTGAGGAACAATTTCTTGCCCTGGAGGGTTGCCCAGGGCTGTGCCAGGCTGCCCAGGGCAGTGGTGGAGTCCCCACCCCTGGAGGGGTTTCCAAGCTGTGGAGATGTGGTGTGAGGGACACGGGGCAGTGGGGACCTGGCAGTGCTGGGGGACAGTTGGACTCTGTGACCTTAAAGGTCTCCTCCACCCCGAATGATTCTGTGATTTTATGAAGCCTACAGAACCCCTCTCTCTGCTCCATCCTCATTCCAGATTGACAGAGGTTATTTTAGGGGCACAAACATGAAGCAGTTCTTTGGCACAGAAATAGCTGAGCTGGGGCTCGTCAGCTCCCAGTGCTCCCAGTGCCCCCTCAGCCTGGCCCGGGGGAGCAGCTCACTGTGAGGGATTGCTCATCCAGAGCTCTCCCCTCGCAGGCAGAGAAGCTTGTCAGGATGTCAAACAACTGACCTGGTTTTCTTTGCTACAGAGATGAAATCCTCTGATTAATTTATTACACTCTGGTTTTTGTGAGCCTTTCCTGATGCAGATGATCCCTCCTGGGGTAATAAAGCTGCCCATAGGTGCAGGCACCTGGCCCTGCCCCTTCTGCCTGCAGGATGTAACATGGGGAACAAGCCTTTGTTTTAAACCCTTTTCAGCTTTTCCTTTCCATTATTTAAGACATTGTGCTTTTAGTGGGAAGCCTTGTGAAGCTAAGAGTGGGTTTCTTCTCTTCTTACCATGCCTTGGTGTCCTCATGAACTGGGTCTCATTTCCCTCAGCGTTTTAGTGTGAGCAATTGCACGTGGTGTGAGTGTTTCCCTGCCCAGCTGGGATGTGTTGCTGGTGTCTGGGGTACCCCAGAGGTCTGTGCCCAAGGCTGTGGGGAGCTGGGGGTGTGCTGGGTGCTGCTGTTGTTGTGGGGAGTGGCCGGAGAGCCCAGTCACACCACATGGGTTGAGTGAGTTAAGAATTAAATTGTCTTGATTTGTTCTTTGATTCTTCCTTTTTTTCCTTCTCCTTTCTTCAAGGAATTCTGCAACCTTCAAGTCATTTGAAGATCGAGTTGGGACCATAAAGGTAACAGTTTGCTTTGTCTGGTAGACCTGCAGTGTGAAGCCTCATGCTTTAATTTCTGCAATGTTTTCCTCATAGACTAGGATTTGGGCAAAAGGCCTCTCAGATACAGGAGGTCTTCTTGGCAAGGGGGACGTGACTGGGTGTTCTCAGGGCTGGTTTCTTGTCACCTCGACTCTCTTCTCTCCTTTCAGTCCAGAGTGGTGGGCAGCAGGGAGAACAGCACCGAGGGCCTGCACTCCCCCTCGGGAGCTGGAGAGAAACCCCCACAAGACAACTCTCCATTCTAGACCCACACTATGGGTCCCAAACCTTCAGCACAGCAACGACGTGCGGATCCAAGACGGGGCTGAGAGCCAGGCTGGAGAGATCCATCATCCTTTCATCCATTCATAGACACTGCTGCTGGATCGAAGTCAAATAAAGAGAATGCAAAGTTTTGTACACAAATAATATTTTACACTAAAGTTTGTAGATGAAATGTATCACTGCTGTCCTTTTGGGAGAGCGTGTAAGGTGGAGTTTCCTTAAAGCAGCTCAGAAATGCCACTGGTATAGATAAAAATCCCCATTTTTTTCCCTTCTTTGACCTAACTTGAAACGGATACATTGCCCTGAGCAGCTTGAGGAGGGTGGTTAGTGGAGAAGTCAAGTGCACAGTCATCAGCTCTGGCTCCTGGCTGTCTTCTCTAGGCAGGCTCCTGAGCTCCCAGGCTTCTCCCATTACTGTTTTCTCTGGCTCTCGTTGGAGTAGTCTGGAAAATGGGGCAAACAGTTGAAGTGTGGTTTGTTGTTTGTTTTGTTTTTTTTCTTCTGGGCTCCCAAAAGGGAAACTTCACTTCGCAGCTGCCTCGTTGTTACACTAATGCTCTAGCTTTAACAGAACTAAAAATCTTTATTTTTAAACGCAATGAACTTTAAAGAAATAAAGCTTAAAAAAGAAAAAAAAAAATAAAAAGGAGAAAGAAAAAGGAAAAAAAAAAAAAAAGCAGCTTTGGCATCATATTGGGGAAGTGCTCCCTCGGACTCTGAAGCTGGATCTCAAGCCTTACATCACCTCCCGCTTTACTTGTTCGTGGGTTTGTTGTTTCTCTGGAGGAGGCTGTGAGGGCTGTCCTGGTGGGCACTGGGGTGCCACCTCCTCTCCTGGCAGCAGCATGCTCCTGAGCCAGTCCCCGTGTTCCACCCCGTGGCGCGCGCTCCGTCTCCCCGGTGTCCGAAACTTGCTTCTCCCCCCTGGGTTTGCGCCTTCCCCCGTGGGGCAGGGGTCTCTGAAGGGTGGCTGGATGAGGTGGGTGCTGTGCTGGGGGGACTCTGATCCCTGGGGGGCTCCCCCCCGTCTCCTCCAGCTGGCTGGGACCCGTGGGGTGTCTGGGCTGCAGGCCCCAGCTCTTGCTCTCGGTTTACAAAACCACAGAGCTCACCCAGTTCTCCCCAGAGCTGAATGTTTTGCTCTTTGGATGTCCGACTTCAGTGCTCAGGAGCTGAAAGGTTCTGAGTGTTCTCCTAGAGGCCTGATCTGATTTTAGGCAAGGTGCCTCCACGTAGAAATACCTAGAGTGAGCAGTTCTGTGCCTTAGAGGCGAAGTGGGACTTACTCAGGTCTGTAGACTTGCTGATGTACATATCGGGGTAGTTTTAGTTGTTTATCACCCTGGAGGGACCGAACCGTCTCTGACCCCTCTTTAGAGAAGCAAGTTTTGACACTTAGTTACTGATAAATCTCTTTTCCCTCACCCCTGCTCCCCTCCCTCTGCAGACCTGGGGACAGGGGGTGGAACTGGAAGGCAGATGTACGAGGCAGTGGGTGGAGTGTTGAGTGTTGTGTACTGGTGCTCCTCCTTTGACTGAAACTGGGCTCCCTGCGAGGAACAGAGCCAGTGGAACTGGGACTGCTGGAGCTTGGGTATTGAACTGTTTATAAATAGTGAAGAAACTTGTCAATAAAGCATTCCTTTGGGAGAAAAGGGGGTGAATGGCCTTGTTTTGTTCTGTCTAACAGTGCTGAAGTTGGCTCTTGGGTGCATTATGAACTTTTCAGACAAACACGAGCTGCCTGCAGCAGCTTGAGGTGGGAAGCAGCTGAAATGTTCTCTCCCATCCCTCTGGCTTGTTTCTCTGTGGGCTCTCCAGATCCTTTCTCATGAAGGGATGTACTAAATAACAGTGCCAGTCTGATGTCACCTTTTCAAGGTGTTGAACACCAGCTAGTTCCAGAGAAGTACCTGTGCTCAGCCAAGGGCTGGGGACATTCATCCCTTTCAGTACTTCAAGGGGCCTCTCAGAAAGCTGGGGATGGACTTTGGAGCAGGGCTTGTTGGGACAGGACAAGGGGGGATGGTTTGAAACTAAAAGAGGGAGATTTAGACTAGAGAGAAGGAAGAAATTGTTGACGCTGAGGGTGGTGAGCCCCTGGCCCAGGTTGCCCAGAGAGGTGGTCGCTGTCCCATCCCTGGAACCCTTCCTGGGGAGGGTGGCCGGGGCTCTGAGCACCCTGCTCTAGCTGGGGATGTCCCTGCTCCCTGCAGGGGGTTGGGCTAGACAGTGAGAGGTCCCTCCCCACCCAGACCAGTCTGGGATCCTATAATTATCCTCTGAACACCATTGCATTGCTCCCTTCATGGGTGCTGCAGGGGAACCAGACGTGGCTCCAGCTCCCTCACGCCGTTTTCCTGTGACAAAGCAGGAGGAAGCTCCTGCTCAGAGCAGGGCACCGCAGTCCCAGCAGTAACCTTGGCACTGGGGCTGAGGCTGGAGAAACTTCCAACGTGGAAAAGCAGCAGCTGTGGTGCTGGCTGGGATTTACAGTGTGATCCCTCAGGGAATTGGCTGCTTGGAAGCTCTGGCAGTCGCTACTGATTTAACCAGCACAGTGGGGGGAGCAGGGGATGGACGAGGAGCTGGGAGCCACTCCCTCACATTGAAAAGGGCCGTGGAGAGCCAGGCAGGTAGGTTGTGAGAGGCTGGCATTGCTGTGTAGCTGCTTGGTGTGCTGTGCTCTCAGCCTGGCTGGGTTTGAAGCATCTGGTTGGTGGTGAGGTTTTGGGTTGGCTTTTGTGGGTTTTGAGGTTTGGTTTGTTTGTTTTGAAGAGTGGGGTTATTTTTTGCTACTCGATTTGTGCAAGTAAATGAGATCTCTACAACTGGGTCTAAGAGCAAAGGGGTTGATGTGGTCCCTGAGCCTGGAGGAGATGCTGTGTGCAGAGCCACCTCCCCAGCCCCTTCCAGCGAGGGCTCCCGGGTGTTCCCAGGGAAGGTTAACCCAACCTTCCCCTCCTGGATACAGGCTGGACAGTCAGCTTGTCACTCCTGCTTTCTGAGCATGCTCCTGGCACGTCTTGTGGGTCCAAGCCCCCGTCTCCCTTCAGAGCTGGGCTGTGAACCACCGGTGTCCCGTGCAAAGGCAGAATCCCGGGAGGAGGAGCAGCCCTGGCCCAGCAGCCTGCCAGCGCCCTCTGCTCTGTCCTGGCCGGGGGAGAAGGCACCGACAGCAGCGTTCCTCCTCTGCAGCCCCCACCAACAGCCTCGTGGGGCCAGAGCTGCTCAGAGAGGCTCAGGGTGCTGCCTCGGAGCCTGGAGAGGGTTTGTCCTGGAGCTTTCTCCTGTTTCCGTCTTTTTCCTGTTGTTTCACTTCAACAAAACATCCCGGTATCAGATCTATGCTAACGAGGCCGGCACAGGAGTGAGAGCAGAGCTGGCATCTTAGAATCATAGAATCCTTTAGGTTGGAAGGGACCTCCAAGATCATCAAGTCCAACCATTGAGCCATCTTCTCAGGCAGCGACAGAGCCAGCGACCAAACCAGCATCTCCTCTTTCCTGCTCCTCTGGTTTAACCCGTGATTTGCCCCATCTTTCCTCACCACTGAGGATTTGCTGGCTCTCCTCTGACCGCTCCCACGTTTCAGGGGGACCCACGCTGAGCCCACGTTATCAGCAGGGCCCGTGGTGGCTGAGGAGAGGCTTTTCCACAGAGGTGCTGCCAGCGCTGCCAGCGCCCCAGGAGGGTGCTCGTGTCTCCCCCGTTCGTCCCTGCTGGCTCCGTGGGGTGAAGCACGGGGCTGGGTGACACAGAGGGACCGTCCCCAACCTGTTTCCCAGCCGGGTGCCCGTGCAGCAGCCTCTCTGCACAGCCAGGTCCCGCTGCCTTGGCCAGGGGCAGGGCCGGATGCACCAGGGGGGTGGTTTAGGTCTGTAACTGAGTGGGCAGCCAGAGAACAGGAGGGAGCTGAGATCCACCAGGCAATGGAGAGCTGCAGGTGCTCCTGAGGAAGCTCAAAGCCACGTTTTGGGGTGTGGTGACACATGAAAGAGACTCGGCTGTTGTCGTTGCCACACCCCAGCAAGCACCCAGGGATGGGCTCACCCTCTTGGCTTGAAATGGAAACTTCCCAGGGCACTGGGGATGTTTGTCTCCTGCCCATGAGGAAGAGGTTGGGGGCCCTCATCCCAGCAAAGCACCCACCTCTCACTCCTGCATCACAGGGTGTTTCCTAAACCCCAAAAGCATGAGGTGACCTGGGGTGGCCGGGCAGCACAGCGTTCCCGTGGCCTTGCTCTTGGTTTGTGGACTGGAATCTCCTGGCTTGGGAAGGAGATGTGAGGAGTGTGAGCTGTGGAGGCTACACTGGGAGCATCAAAGCTCCATCCCACAAAGGGGGAACAAGCAGATAAGCAGCAGAATCAAAAAGGGACTGCTTGCAAAAACCCAAGAAGGAACCATTTTCCCCTGCTGGCACCATGTCCCGACCCTCAGCCAAAACTGCAACAAGCATTTTGAAAGGAATTTGACATTTATGCTCTGGAGAGGGGTTGCCCAACAGCTCCAGCAGCTGGGAGCCTGTGCTTGAGCCAAGCGCTGGCCCAGGGCTCCCTGCCTGGGCCCCCTCCCTGCACCCCTGTGGGTGCCAGCAGCTGGGGCTGGGTCCTGCCTGGGTTCAGCACCTCTTCTTGGGTGCAGGTTCCATGCAAGGTCCAAGGTGTAGGGTCTGTGCTGGGGAACCCTGCACGTGCCTGGGGTTTTGGGGGGGAAGAGGTACCGGGTGTCCTCTGGAGCATCGATGCCAGAGTGGGGCTGGGGAAGGGGTCTTGGCAGCTGCTGAAGGAAGCCAGGGCTGGAGTGAGGAGAGGACGTGGCACTCCCCTCACTCCCAGAAGGACACTGAGGGGCTGGAGCGTGGCCAGAGAAGGGGAAAAAAAATGGCGAAGGGTCTAGAGCCCAAGTGTGGGGAGGAGCAGCTGAGGGAGCTGGGGGTGCTGAGCCTGGAGCAAAGGAGGCTCAGGGGAGACCT